TTTTTTTTTTTTTTTTGGAGACAGAGTCTTGCTCTGTCACCCAGGCTAGAGTGCAGTGGCACGATCACAGCTCACTGTAGCCTATATCTCCCAGGTTCAAGCGATCCTCCCACCTCAGCCTCCTGAGTAGCTGGGACTACAGGCAGATGCCACCACGCCTGGCTGATTTTTGTATGTTTTGTAGAGATGGGGTTTTGCCATGTTGCCCAGGTGGTCTCAAACTCCTGAGCTCAAGCACTACTCTCGCCTCAGCCTCCCAAAGTGCTGGGATTACAGGCATTGAGCCACCTGCCCAGCCAGGAGTATCTTTTTTAACATATAATTCATTTACCATAAAATTTATCCTTATGATAAAAGTGTACAACTCAATGCTTTTTGGTATATCCACAACGTTTTGTAACTATCACCACTATCTAATTCCCAAAAAATTAAGAATATCTGAAATAGAACTTACTACATCATGGAAAAACAAATTTTTTTTTTGGAAAAACAAATTTTAAATCCAATAAAATTCATGTGAATTTCCTTCCTTTGCTGGGAAATCCACATAGAATATCTTTTGTACTCTATGGAATTATAGCTCACCTACTTTTGGGGGAATCATGTAAGGTAATTTTATTTCATTATGTATTGTTTTAAAATGTGTCTACCTTTTTGAAGTGTCATGTTGTGGCTGTTTTTATTGAGATGGGGGTCTCACTATGTTGCCCAGGCTGGTCTCGAACTCTTAACCTCAAATGACCTGCCCAGCTCAGCCTCCCAAAGCGCTGGGATTACGAGCATGAGTCACTGCACCCAGACAAAAGTGTCATTGTTTAATCTTGGTTTGAAAGAACTTTAAGTATTTAAAACATTATGTGGTTCTTTTATGCAAGTGCTTTATCCCTAACTTGTTTGATTATCCAGGGAAAGCAACTCTTTCTGACTTCTGCACTCAGAAAGTGCTTGGTCTAATTGTGTTCTCCTTCCTATCTCTTAGCTTCACAGGATAATGCAGCTGGCTGTGGTTGTATCAGAAGTACTTGAAAATGGTTCCTCAGTTTTGGTCTGTTTGGAGGAAGGCTGGGACATCACTGCACAAGTAAACAGACATATTTTTTGATACTTCATTTTATATTTATATTTCCATTTGGTGGTTTTTAAATTCTTCAGATGAATGTTTTGTATAATGACTAATGTGTTTATGGACAGAGAAAGTCCTGTGTTAAACACCACCTGTTATCCATCAGAAAACTCTGTACCATGAGCTCTTAGCCCCTACGCAGCCTGGAGCTCTGGCTCCAGGCATCAGGCTCTCCCACCCACAGATTTACCATGCAGGCTTGTGGATGGAGCCCTTGACCAGCAGTGTGAGGCATGGACCATCCTTTCTGGGTTTTGTCAGTCCATCCCCTGGCTCTCTGTAAGCCCCACCTTAACCCACTCCAGAGTGAAAAGTGAGTTCAGACTACATTAAGACATTAATCTGCATCTGCCAAAAAGTAGAATTGATTTTAACTGATCCTCTGGCCTCTGATTAACTTAGGAAAAGGTTGTTGTCAGCAAACTGACCAGTTAAGGATTAAAGGCTTAATTCCCTGAAAGTAAACTTGTAGCCAAAATGAATTTGAGCTTTAGTTTTTACTGGAAAGCTTACAGAATTCATTTTATTGGCCATCCTGGAATGGTTAGTAAACAAATTTGCTGTCCAGGTAAATTTGTGAATTAGCTATTATCAGAAGGAAGTGCTTTTATCTTAGTAATAGGACTTTTTCAGAACTAAAATTAATAACAATCCATCCTGTTTGTGCCCTAGGTGACATCCCTGGTTCAGTTACTCAGTGATCCCTTTTATAGGACACTTGAAGGCTTCCGGATGTTGGTTGAAAAAGAGTGGCTCTCTTTTGGTCACAAATTCAGTCAGCGGAGCAGCTTGACCCTCAACTGTCAGGGGAGTGGTTTTGCTCCAGTCTTCTTACAGTTCTTAGACTGTGTACACCAGGTAAGTAAGAGCAAGCTTGAGTTGACTTGATGTGAAGGAAACAACACAACGTACTAGCATTGATGGAGCACTGCGATGGTGTGCCAGGTACCTTCCTATCATAACTCTGATTAACTCAGCCATAGGACGTGCTGAAATCTTAGCAGCAGACTCCTAGAAATGGAAAAGAAAAAAAATTCGTTGGTTTCTGAAACGAGGACAGCTAAGCTGGCTACTGGGCTTGCCCCAAGTGAAGTAGCCAGCACTCTAAATGACCATCTTCAAAGAAGAGGAGCAAACTTGGGCTTATTACCTAAGAACAAAATCTCTAGGTAATAGGGGTCCTGAAATCCAGCACATGGTCTGCGCAGTTCAGGAGGACCCCAGCTTGTGCCTAGGAACATAAGAGGTAAAGCCTAACCCCTGGAGAAATAATCAGGGCCCAGCCAGACGGACATACAGGCTTGAGAACACTGGTCACTTCTACCACATTGAGAAACCGTGGTACATATACACCATAGAATACTATGCAGCCATAAAAAAGAATGAAATCATGTCTTTTGCAATGACATGGATGTAGCTGGAGGCCATTATCCTAAGCAAATTAATGCAGAAGTAGAAAACCAAATACCTCATGTTCTTACTTATAAGTGGGAGCCCAGGTATATCCATTCAAGTGCAGTGAAGGTAGGGGAGATGTGAGTGCTCTAGGCACCCTCCTGCCTTCATCGCAGGCACATCAGATACAGACCTCTGGATGGGACCTTGGTCAGGACTGGGTTTGAGAATTGGATGGCACCGAGTTTGCAAGTTGAAGACTGAATTGGCCTAGGAAAAGCAGACCTATTTCCAGCTTTCATTTGACCATAATCCCAGGGTTGGATGAATGAGTTCTGGCATGTCACACCTGTCTGTGGGAATGGTGAGCCTCTTTGAAACACACTGGCCTCAAATATCGATTGGAAAGAAAAGTAGAACTATGTTTTCAGGAACCAGAGTTGAAACGAACTCTGATGACACCAAGTTAGTAAGTGGTTACGTTTTATTTTGTTTTTATTCTAGTAATCACTTGATCAGCTTTCCAAATCACTACATAATTTTTGTTAATAACAGCTTTATTGAACTATATATCATACAATTCACCTATTTAAAGTGTTCAATAGTTTTGAATCCATTCACAAAGTTGTGTAACAATTACCACAGTCAATTTTAGAGCATTTTATCACTCCAAAAAGAAACTCCATACTCATGAGCAGTGACTTTCCAACCTTCCACCCCACACACAGGAAGCTATTTTTTTTTACTGCTCTAATTTACTTATTAACGAAAAGACCTATTGAAGAATTTCATTGATCTGTCCAAGCAGTAACTGGAGGAGCTCATTACAAGGTTAAGCATGTACCTTTAAACTCTTTGCAGCAAATAGTATACTATATTTGTTTTCTGTTTGAATATTGGCCCTTTTATTCATACGCCTTTTGGCAAATAGACAAAGGAGAAGTTTGGAGACCATTGTCTCTGAAACAGAAAGCTTACCTGAGGCCAAAGGAGAGGAGCAAGCATCTCTTCTCACTTCTAGGCAGGTGAAAGCATATGAGTTCTTCATGAAAGCACTTCTTATCTTTTTATTATGCTTATCAATTGGACTAGACTATTTCCTGCCTCCATATACCACCATTACTAACAATTACTAATTTATGTCGACTGCTTACTATGTGCCAGGAACAGTTCTGAGCACTACACATGTTATTTTAGTTCATCATTCTTTGAATCTTTCGCTGACCCTCACCCTCCCACTTCATTTATATTTCTAATGAGTCAGGTATAGACATCTTTGATAGCATCGATAGCACGAAAGTGTATTTATTTGTATGTAAGTATTGCCCTCTACTTAATCTGAGAATTCCCGGGAACAAGGACTATGTCATACTAGTCTTCATATCCCTAGTATCTAACACAATTACAGTCTCAGTCTCTGGAATATAATAGACAATAAATAGATAATCTCAATGAATATATGAGAATTTGAAAGACCACAAGTCTTGTTCATGCTCTTACCACCCTCATCAAGACCATCTAGAATATCCTGGCCAGGCATGGTGGCTCATGCCTGTAATCGCAGCACTTTGGGAAGCCAAGGTGGGAGGCTCACGAGATCAAGAGGTCAAAACCATCCTGGCCAACATGGTGAAACCCCATCTCTACTAAAAATACAAAAAATTAACCGGATGTGGTGGCACGCATCTGTAGTCCCAGCTACTTGGGAGGTTGAGGCAAGAGAATCGCTTGAACCTGGGAGGTGGAGGTTGCAGTGAGCTGAGAATCCCCCACTGCACTCCAGCCTGGTGATAGAGCGAGACTGCGTCTCAAAACAAACAAACAAAAAACCCATCTAGAATATCCTAAGTAGAATTGCTGGCATAATCTTCCAAAAACTCAGATACAATCCTTTTATTCCCCTCCACAAAAGTCTTCAAAGCAAACAAACAAAAACCTTCAGTGGCTCCACATTTCCAAAAGAATTACCCTTCCACATATCCAATTTGAATATAATTGGGGGGAACCAAAATGCGCTACAGTAGGTGAATGACTACACAAACTGGGATACATCCATACCGTGGACTACTACTCAGTAGTAGAAAGGAATTACTGGCATATGCAACACCTTAAAGGGATCTCAAGGACATTATATTGAAAGGGGAAAAAAAGGCAATCTCAAAGGGTCCAATTGGGTATGATTCCATGTATATAATTTTTTTTTTTTTTTTTGAGACAGAGTCTCACTCTGTCACCTAGGTTGGAGTATAGTGGTGTGATCTCAGCTCACTACAACCTCGGCCTCCCAGGCTCACGCAATCCTCCCACCTTGGCCTCCCAAGTAGCTGGGACCAGGGGTGCACCCCACCATGCCTGGCTAACTGTTTGTGTTTCTGGTAGAGACAGGGTTTTGCTATGTTGTCCAGGCTAGTCTTGAACTCCTGAGCTCAGGCGATCCATCCGCCTTGGCCTCCCAAAGTGCTGGGATTACAGGCGTGAGCCACCATGCCCAGCTAATATTTTCATAATGACAAGATCATAAATTATTGGTTGCCAGATTCAAGATAGTAGGGGAGAAGGAAATGAGTGTGACTATAAAGGGGTAGCATGAAAAACAAACCAAATGTCCATCAACCGATGAAGAGATGAATAAATTCTGGCATATTAATTCAGTGGAATACCACTCCACATACAAAGGGAATGAAATATTAATGTTACAAAGACATGACCAATCTTGCGATCATTATGCTCAGTGAAAGAAGCCAGGCAGAAAAGACTATCTACTACATAAGTTTATTTATATGACGTTCTAAAAAGGGCAAAACCATAGTGACTGAAAGCAGATCAGTGACTGCCTGGGACCAGTGACCAAGGGAGGGGATGAATCGTCATGCAAACGGCATAAGCAAACTTTTCAGTATCAGGAAACTGTTCTGTATCGTGATTGTGGTGATGGTTACACAGCTGTGTACAGTGACCAACACTAATAAAACTATACACTTAAAGTAGGGAAATTTTATATTTAAATAATACTTCAATAAATCTGGAGGAAAAAATAATAATCTATAATTAGTAAGTCCAACATCTCAGTAAACTAGAGTTCCAGAAAAAGAAAACAGCAGCTACCTTGTTTCTACGGAGAAGAATTTGTCTGGGGCCCCAGAAAGTACTTGCAGGTCTGCCTGCTTGCTTTCTGGAGACAGGGCAGGAAATAGGTCCAGGGAAATCCCAGTTCAGTATGCAGACTTTCGTTTTTTCCATGCTATTTTCAGTGTCTCCTAAGTCTCATCACTAACCCAGTTGTGTCTGGTGTTCCCAAGTCTAGAGCTTATCAGGTTTGTTTTTTTGTTTGTTTTTCAGAAAATAAACCTCTGATCTGTTGCTCTGAAAAGGGTAATCATATGACTACATGGAGTGGGAAAGGACCTGGGGTCTACGTACTGCCTCCATAGACTTCTAGCTAGTCCCATGATAGCCTCCATTTCACCCCTGCAGTACTCAATACTTGGGCCTCTGTGCCCTGAGCCTTTATGGGTTTACCTTAACAGCAAATTGTTACCTTCTCAAATCATTTTCCTCCTGGCAGGGATCCCAATATAGCTTCTCCTCTTCTATCATTTACTGCTATTCTTCCTTCTATTTTCCGTCTTTCAAAAATTTGCTGAATTGCTTTGGCCCAATACTGTATCTCCTCCCATTCTCCCCACTCCCTTTTGGGTTTTTTACCTCTTAAAAATTCCTTTAATGGGGGCGGATTCCAGGGGAATGAGCTTATACAGCCAAATTTGGCTTAAGTTAAATGTACTACTTAATATGTTAAATGTCTATGTTCAACTTGCAGAATTCTGCACACCTAAACACTAGGGTCAGCAAAATAATCCACCCACAATCAGTAAGAGAAAGGAGGTTCCCATGTAAGACATACTATCCTCAAAGATGGGAGCATCATTATCTCCCAAGTACAATAATCCTTACTTGGAATGAAATTCTTCTATTTTATTATTGGGAATGGGGCTCAGGGCGGGAGGAGTGGGAGAGGTCTAGATGCTGGAAGGTAACCTATATTCTGTGAGTACCCCTTAAGCGGTATGATTAAAGCAATTTAACATACACTAAGATGTAGCATAACTTACATTCCCATTTTCTTTAGAATACATTACAATAGATGCTAAAACTACAAAATGCTAAGTTAATTAAAACAATTTGGGGTATATGTTTAATTTCTGCTGTTTTGTTTTATTTACTAATCAGCTGAATTTAAGATTCATTTGGGTTTCTTTTTCAAGTAAAGAGTTAAAATTCAAATGTTCTATATAAACCAGTTGATTGTGAAATCAAAAACAGAAGTTAACTTTTAATTAAAGTTCGATTATTTGTAGGTGAAAGCTTCACAAACTGTAAAAAGTAGCATTGTTCAGGATCTAGAGACCCTATTAGTATGATTTCAAATCTGGCTGTGCCAAAGTAAAATTTTTAAAATTAAAACATAAATTTTTAAGAATTTGCCTTAATCCTCCTTTCACTTAATACCTCATACGTAAAAACCTAAGTGCAGACAAGTCATAGCAAAGCAAGCATATGACCTTAATTGCAGTAAGTAAAGCATGCTTGGCTACCAGAGGTATCAGCTTTGGTGA